GGAAAATGAGAGTATAGGATCCCAGCTTGATCCCACAAAACCTTATTGTTTAGGGGGAAGGAGATGGGGGAAAATGGGGAGTTGTGTTTGAAGTTCAATCATAAAATCATGATTTGCAAAGTGGCTCTTTCCCCAGGTGTCCATCAGCTTCCTTGTTAACATCTATGTTGGTTTTTGCGCCTCCTTGAATGACCAGGTGGTGCAAGGCTCATGCAGGCAGTGGTTGTTGCACACATCTGGGCAGTCTGTGCAGAGGGAGGAGGGCGAGAGAGAAAAATGTGGGATTCCACCCTTGTTTTTGGAAATGACAAGAGGGAGGCACAGTGGGGTGGGAGACTGCACCCAAGACGTGCTTCAGTCCCCGTTTGGCACTGTGTTAAGAGGTAGCACTGGGAGAAAGAGCACCAGACTGGGTTCGGCTGCTCTTGGCACAGAGCTTGTTTATCCTGTTTGCCCTGTCTCTCAGAGCATCATTCACTCCATCCCCAGACACATGCTCTTATGATAATTTCTGTAATTCTATTAGCTTGGAGGAAATAGGCTTTACTGTCCATTTGATTTTATTTCTCTTTTTCCAGAGAACTCAGCTGCTTGGTCTTTTAGCTTAACCCTTTGTGGATACTTTTTTTGGTTTTTTTTTTTTTTCTTTTCCAGGGCATCGAGACTAGATGTTTTACCTTTCTGCCTTCTTGGTTTCCATGTATAAGCAGCATTATAACTGAGATTTTTGTTTGTTTCTTTTTAGTCCCAACTAGAAATGAGCTAAAGCTTCAAAAATCAGATCATAACCCATGTTCCCCAAAAGTCAGTACTTAAACCTGAATAATTTGGAAACACCTGATCTGCAGAGGCAGCAAAGAGCCATTGCATCAAGAGATAAAGCTTAATTTGCCTAGCTACTGAAATTTTCAGTGGTGTTTGTATGCACAGATATTTTGTTTCTAACATCACATGCTGGAGCTCCTGGTGAAATCAGCTCAGGTTTGTGGTAGGATTATTTTTATGGATAGGGAGAATGATGTGATAAGAACACGTCACCATGACTGCATTGCAGAACTACATAGAAATTTGTATGGGTAGGGGGAAACTGATCTACCCGAGATCTGCAATAACAAACTACATAGCCTTTGCTTTTTAATAAATGTGCCACTTTTAGAGGTATTTTGCTTTGTTAAGATTTGTTGAGATCGAATCTTAATCAACTCAGGTAATGAGGAAAAGAATATTTTCCCACCTTTGTCTGGGGTATTGATGCTCCCTCTATAAAAAGCTGACACTGCTGGTCTTTCTAGTTTGCTGTGGCTGCAGGGGTTCAGAAACAGTCCCAAATAAACTCACCTGGAGGCAGATGGTACATGTGTGTGATCGTGTTGGCACATCTACATGTTCTGATGGAAGACAGGATTGGTCAGGGTTAAAGAGTTTTATAATGGTAGGGAATGGGGATGGAGCCAACAGAGGCTTTTCCTTACTAGTAGGGAAGCAAAGGCTGGTTGCACGCTGCCATTGAAAAACAGTTTTAGTGACAAATACATTTTGAATGACCACTTTTCTTCTTTTTTTAATGAAAAGCATTACTGTAAAAACCCTGAAAAGTAGAAATGTTGGAGTTTATTTCGTGTGATGAACTAGGACCTTATCATATTCATATCAGCCTGCAAGATGACATTTTTAATGTTTCCTTTTCTCCAGAAATCTTTTATTTAATTTTGCCAAAAAATCAAAGTGGAAAACCCTACAATTCTTTGACGAGTTATACTGGGAACAGTTCTATGTATTACGTAGGTGGAGCTGTTGAAGGTTAGGCAAAAATAGAATTTCCCATTTTGAAACCACTGTTTTAGGAGGTCATATTTATGAAAATTTTAGGAATTTGGGTGAAATTTTCCTTTCTGAAGTTTGCTATGGATTGAATTATTTCTGGAAACTTTAAAAAAATACAGTGGTGGTTTCCAAGAACATAACTAGGGAAGAGTATATTGCTTCACTTGTGATTAAAAAAGGAATAAGGTGGCCACAGTGTATGGAAAACACCAGAGCTCACCATTTCCTGGATGAGGAGCACTAGTTCTGCAGGGATCTCCCTGGGGCCAGGGATGTGCCTTTTGAAAGCTTTTTCTGGGTTTGTCAAGTCTGAGGCCTCCATCTGCCTGTGCTCTGTGTTAACTACTAGCTGAGCTGCCAAATCATAGAATCATAGAATCGTTTAGGTTGGAAAAGACCTTTAAGATCATCCAGTCCAACCATTAACCCACACTACCAAGTCTACTCTAAACCAATCAAGGGTAGACTAGACTAAACCATGTCCCGAAGTGCCACATGTACCGGTTTTTTAAACACTTCCAGGGATGGGGACTCCACCACCTCTCTGGGCAGCCTGTTCCAATTCTTGACCACCCTTTCCATAAAGAAATTTTTCCTAATTTCCAACCTAAACCTCCCCTGGCGCAGCTTAAGCCCATTTCCTCTCGTCCTTCCTAAAACTTTTGTCTATGCTGGGGATAGTTCAGCTGAAGGCTGCAGTTAGGGGGCCAAGTGTTATCGGTCATTACTGCTCATAAAAGTAAGGCCAACTATGAGATGGGAGTACTGGAGGCCTCATTTCAGTTGCATTCAGGCAGTGAGGGGTAGGATAATAAGAAGGGACCAGGGAGGGGAGTAATGATTGGTAGGAGGGTGAGAGTGGGACAGAGCCAAAAGTGCTGTTGGTGCTGGGTGAAAAGAGCAGAGAGAGGGGTCTCTGCTCTGCACAGGTCCAGTGTCAGTTGGGTGGACTGCAGGGTCCTGCAAGGCTGACTTGCTGCACCCTTGGTTGCTTGGCTGGGTGAGTCCCTCTCCCTTCTGCCCTGCAGGAGAGTGTAGTAGCTCACAAGAGCATTTAGGTCTTTGTTGCCTCATTCAGATTCACTGTTCAGGGTTGTTGTGGGATTTAAAGGGGCTTCACCTTTACACTGCACAGTGCTGGCAGCTGCTCTGGCTTTCCTCTGGCTTCTCTGTAAGCAGAAAAAGCTGCTCAGCAGCTGGGGTAGTGTGTGCACGTGTGCTTGTGATGTTCTCTGCCGCGGCAGCTCCCAGCATATAACCTAACACAGAGGAGCATCTCGGCTGCCTGTGCCCCATCTCATCTCACAGCTGTCGTTTCAGTTGCCTGCGGAGAAATAGCTCTGCTCTCTAGGTTTGAGAAGGAGAAGACATTTGAGGTGGGGAAAGCAGGTTTGACCCATTTAAACTTTACACCGCCCACCAGTCACCATGGGAAATGTCCAGAACGGTTAATATTTGGGGAGATGACCAGAGCATTGCCACCAGAAGGGATGTGGCAGCTTCTATGCACAGGGCACACCTGCATTAATGGGGCCATCCTTCTTCTAGCATATGACCTAAGGGAGATGCTGCTGTTGCTCACACAGCCTTACCCACCCCACTTCTGATACTTTTTCAGTGTACCTTTCCTAGGCTGCAGCACACCAGGCCATGCTGCAGCGCTCAGGCCCTGGGGGGGGCCCTTCCAGTGCTCAGGGGTGTGTGTGGTGTGGGGGTGTGGCAGCAGTGCTGGGGAGTTCAGCGCATGGGCGGGGAGGGAGTGAACGCAGGAATCGGCAAAGGTGCTGGAGTTGTTTGGAACAATTGGAAGGGTGTTGGTGTGTCTGTTTTGTCATGTCTAAGTCTATGTAGTTATCTGTAGCTGCCTGGGAATGGTGATCTAGGTAGACATGTAGCTCAGTTTTGATGAGGGCAAATAAAGCCAGAGCTGTCTTCATCTGTGGCTTGTTGAAGAACACAGGTTTAGGTGTCAGCTAATCCCCCCTTGGGACAGATGAGCCTCAAATCCCCTTCACAAGTAGTAGTGGATTTTAACAGTTTGGTCACCAGCCATTAGTTGCACCTATCCACGGTGGTAAAATTGTTACGTGTTCTGACAACACCCCAAGGAAAAGCTGAGATTGGTTTAGCTTGAAAAATGCGAGAAGCCCCCTTCTCTCTTTGCAGGTTATGAGCTACCTGCAACAGTGTGGTGGGATTGTCCTGTGATGGGAGTCCAGGGCCTTGATCTGTCCTTTGCCAAAGGCTGTAAGACTGTACATGCATTATGTGCTTTCCTAGCTAATTTGTTGAGGATTATGCTTAAATCCGCATTAAAAATCTCCCCAGCAAAACATGCAGGTCTTTTTGTTCTCAGGTCTCTTCTCCTCATTCTAGCTGCCTTTCACAGTTGTCTTCTCTGGATGCTTTCCTGTGCTCTTAGCCTTAGATTCGTGAAAGTGTATACAAACCCCAGTTACACGAGCTGTTACAGTTGCAGGAACATTTCAGGACTAAATCTATATAAAGGAAAATTTTACATTTTATTTATATTTCATCACTGAACAGAGTATATAAATATTTGTTGATCTTGTATTAATTTGGCCTCTGTTTATCAATCAGCTATCAGAGGTGGCAAGGTGAGAAACCTGTTAGTGGTTATCTCGGAAGTGTGTGTCTGTTTCTCAGCTCAGTTTTAAATATCACACTCAAACAGCTAACCAGTGATTCCACCTGTAAAGCTCTTTATAAATCAGACACAAATAGTTTTGATGCGTTTGAAAGAAATAAATGTCATAGCAATACCTTCTTTGTAATAGGGAAATCGCAGTATTCTAAGGAAAGAAAATGTCCTTCCTGAGGCAAGGTATGTAAAATACTTTTTTAATAATACTCCTTGTGAGCCAGGATGGCATATTGTACAGTAAACACCTTTCTTGTTAATGTTCAGACTTCAAATAATTGAAAAAAGGGCCAAGATATCACCAGAAGTCCTGAACTAATTGGAAAAAATAATAGTTTTCTGTTTGTTTTGGGTTTTTTTCCCCTATCACAGAAAGTCAAGTTCTACTTTCCTTTTCCCTACTCTGAATCTGATGTAAGAGCAGCTCAGCTGGCATCTCTGGATTTAACAGAGGGGAACTGAGAGCAGAATGACACCCAACATCTATGTAAGTGTTGACAATTTTAAATGACAACTAAGGGTTTATGGCAGCGGTGTGGTTTTGAAAAAGTGGCTGCAGAAATAATCCAACAGTCCCCAGGACACAAACAAGGACGAATATCCAGAGAAACAGCCTGTCCACTACCATGGCAACATACTTCCAATCTTCAATGACCTGGAAGAAAAAGCCAATTAAATATATTAGCAATTTGTCATATTCTTTTGCTCTTCCTCTTGCTAATGCCGAGTTTTTGTTTATGAAAATAAAAGGAAGCAAATCTCAAGGTTCAGGGAATAAACTGACTTTAGGCTTAGGAAGGGATTTTTCTCCTACAACCACTCTGGGCAGTGGAGAAAAATACTGTAAATATTTCTTGGCTGTCTTGGATGCATCAGGTACTGAGCGTGGCTGCCTGGTGGAAGCCAGTCCGGAAGGACCCACAGTATAATCCAATTAAGGAATTTTTTTTCTTTAATTTTAGTTTGCAGACGCTGTTAATCTCAGTGGACAAAACTAGATGGTGTTTACTGCTGTTAAACAAGGTTAGCTTCAGAGTTCTTTTCTTATCAGCAGTCATCTTAATCAAGGGTTTTAATGCATATTAATACTGTTGCTTTTATTAAAATCCCTTTCTGCCTTGCATATGTTGTCTGTGAAACTCATGGCCTTAGATTCTGTTCTCAAACTGAAGTGACTATCAGGCTATTGTTATAAAGGGGGAATATATCAATCTTCATTTGCATCTCAGGAATGATTATTTTTTCTTCTCCCATTGATTCTAGTTACACATGGGACATTCTCACCTCAATGACTTTACCATGCTTGTCAGTTATGTCATGTCTTATATTAGAACATTACATATTTTTCCTTCAGTGCACACTTTTAATTTCCACTGCTGCTAAGGGGAATTGTGCACTTCTGAAATCAGACTATAGTAAATGTACATGAGCAGTTGTTATCAGACCATGATAATGAAGGAAGAAAGCAGAGATTAAAATTATGAATCTAGAAAAGTGATATGTAATATCAGAGGACCCTGTGTGAAAAGTGTTCAATTAATTTTTATTGTATAAAACACCCTTGAAAATTGTTCTTAATATCACGTGGAGGCTTTGTAGATCCTTTAGTATGCAACACGTTCTTGCAAGAATTTCTGAGCTATTAGAAAACTTTTTTTCTGCTCTATGAAATCTGCTTCTGTTCAGTCAGTTTCAATGTTTACAAGCTCATGTATAATGTTAATAGCTGATATTCTTTATTTATATTGACAGTAATTTCAGCTGATAGAAGACATGAACTACTCAGTGGCATGCTCCTCAAGGGAATTCTGCAAGATCAGAAACCAGACTTTATTTAATCTGCTTGGCTGAGGGAGGGAGAGCGCAATAGGACTAGAGAACCTAGAGTCTAACTGGGATCCAGGTCAGAGAGAGGACACTGGGAGGTATGAGGATGATTTTTCCTAACCATGGGTGCTTGTCTAAAAAAAACTCTGAACCGTGTGAGTTTTTCACAGCATTATTCACAGTGTATTTATATCAGCTTTAATGTGCTAGCTAGTAGCACATGAGTAGGGCAAGTGAATAGGGCAGCAGCGGCAGCAGCAGCAGCAGCAGCACTGCTTAAATGTGTCCTGGATAAAGTGCTTCTCATAGCCAATAATGAGTCTGATTTAACTCAAATTAAAGTGTCAGCTCTGCTGGCATTAGGATTTTGATCCTACCCATTGTGTTTGCCACATATGGACAGATATCTTAGTTCGGGGTGGGTATTTGCAAAGGCAGTTTACCAATTTTCCTAAATCCTCTTTCTATGCCAAGTTAGGTAAATAAATGTCTGAGCTGCAGGTAGATTGTTTCTGGTTTACATGGCCTGGCCATGGGTTGAGTCACAGTCTTACTGAATACAGTGGGGAAAAATACTCTTTTTCTGACCTGGAACTGAATATTATTTCTTTCCCCTGCCAAACACTACTTGAGTGTGACAGCTCAGCTTTTTCAAGGGTGTTTCATGACTTACTGGGCAGTGTTCTCTCTTTGTAGAAATAGCGATGTTACTTTCCAGGAGTGTGTTGGTGTTTACCAAATTGCTATTTGTTAAGTTCTTTTAATGGGAAAAATTATTTCCTCATATAAGCTATAGCTAGAATTTCTTTAAAAACTTTGGAATAGCTAGGGAGTTCAAATATGCTTTCTGAAGAACAGCGTGTTACAGAGGAGGACAGGAGATGAAGTTTGGAAAGACCGGGATGATTTCTCATTTTTACTTACACTCTGGTCATTGTCATCACTTTTCATGTGCTCTGCTATAAAACTGACTCCATCAATTGCTTCTTGGACTTCAGGAGAAAATTTCATGCCTGTTCTTAACCTAAAATCTCGATGACTGCTGACATTGTCAAGAGTCTCAGTGATTTTCATATCATATTTTTTGGCAGAGGCTGTGTTCAAAAAATAGGTAGAGTTCTTGTAGAAGTCAGCTGGGTCCATACAAGGATTCTCTGCTTTTGTTTTCTTGCAGTTGCACAGCTTTTGCCGTGGAGAATTATTTTCTGGCCGCTTCATGAACAGATAGGCTGGGAGTCTTTCAAGGAAAACCAGCTTTACCCAAGGGGGCATAGTGTGAGTACTTGGAGATCTGTGGTGGACATTGAGTACACAGACACTGGTAACTATTGAGAAGGTCACTAGTACCATTGTAAACATGAGATACTTCCCAATCAGTGGAACATCTAGAGATGTTGGAGGGACAATTTTGGAGATCAGCAGCAAGAACACGGTCAAGGCAAGCAACACAGATATGCATAAGGTCATTTTTTCACCACAGTCTGAAGGCAAGTAGAACACCAGGATGGCTAGGGATGTAATTAGCACACAGGGAATGATAAGATTGATGGTATAAAAAAGAGGTTTCCTTTTAATAATGAAGTCATATGTCACATCAACGTAACTGGGGTCCAAAGGATTTACAGTCCTTCTTCCTGGGAGTGCTACAATGTCCCACTCTCCACTTGGTGTAAAGTCATCCATGCTTGCCATGGAAGTTTTAAGCACCATATCAATTTCTGTGTGATCGTATGTCCAAGACCGGAACTTTAATGTGCAGTTTTGTTGATCAAATGGGAAATGCCTAACTTCAATCTTGCAGGCACTCTTGTAAATGGCTGGTGGCAACCAGCGAATGCTTCCATTATTCTTTACAATTGCATTTGTGTATAGCGAAACTTCATATGTGCCATCCGCACTAATGAAACAAGAGGAGAGAAAAAGGAGAGATGATAATAAAACATTAAGAGGAAAAACATAGTTCAAAACAGAAGAGCTCTGACATTCTTGGTCTTGTGGGCCTCAGTTGTTTCTAGAATCAAAGTTTAGTAATATTTTGATTTTGAAATCTATGTTGTAAGGAGCTATAACTTGATAGGGAGATTAATGTATGCATTTCTCCCAATCAGAGAATTGATATTTGGTCCAATACTTACAAGAATTATTTTATAAAATTGTTATTAAATAATAAATCTGCATCTGTTTCATCCAAAGAACTCAAATTATTTTGTAAATGTTTGTTAAAGTAATTAAGGCTTACTCCATCTCTGAAGGCTGAGTAAAAATGAGATCATCCAGCATGAAAATGGAGGTACCTTTGATCTGGAACACAGCCACTGCTAAGAGCACACTGCAACACTCCTAAATGACTTCGATGAGGAAATAAGGATGAACAGTGTTAGTTAGAAATGCAGGGAGAGGGTAGGCAGAGGAGATGTAATTATATGGTTTATAATTTCTTGTGTCACTCCAGTTGATGTTTACTTATTACAAAACCAGAACAGACAAGCCACGGTGTTCTTAGTGGCCACAAATAATCTTGGTTTGTATCTCTTTTAACTGCCCAACTTCTACCAGGAGAGTCTTCTATGTTATGATAGGCCCTTTAATTCAGGGAGAAGATCGTTATCAGTCAGTAGTCTTCTCCTGTCCAATGTTTCTCGGTAGACAACTTAGGGCTGTTTAAAGTATGAAGTATCCTGAGGTAGAACTGTGAAATGGTCAATTGCTGATAAATATTATTGAAATTTATTCACTACATCTTCTCAAGTGTGCTATGCAACACCTTTCAAACACAGCCAATCGGGCTACCAAAGGAAAGTGTAATAGTAGGAAGGAACAACTGTTAGTGAGTGTCTTTCTTGACAGATGAGGAAACTCAAAGGTTTGTTCCTATGTTGATCAATTGCTTTTATTAAAAAACTGGGTTAGTCACTTCGTTGAACTGCAAAGAAGAGTCTGGACTAGATACATCCCACATGCCTTCCTTCTGATGAACAAAGATCTATGTAAAAAAATGCACATAACCTAAGACAGTATGTTATCTGCAAACATGTAAGACCAAACTCACTGCAAGTGTAAACGAATGAAGTTCAACTGACTATAGTTAAGTAGCACCCTTTTATTTGAGTGGGAATGTGCTCCTTAAGAGTTAATAAAAAGTCTAATGAACCACTTGCTTGTTGACAAGACCTCATGGAAAATAGAGCTATTTCAGTGCTAAGGTTGGAGGTTTTTTTCTAAGCAGGGAAGTGCTACAAGTATCCAAGGCTTGGCACATGTGTAGCTGTTCTCCAGATCAGTCCCATTTGGCTCTGGAAAGGCCTCATGTTGCAAACCCTGGTGCCTGGTACTGAGCTGAGACCCTTGTGGCTAATTCATGTAGGCAGTGAAACAACCAGATGCAGAAGCAAGTGGCTACAGCATACAAGTGCCATTAGTTCATTGCCAATAAAATTGCTATTTTTTAGTAAAGAAATTGTATCTTATTTCTCACATGACTGTATCTCCCTGAGTTAGATTTGCTGTTACATCATACAATGTACTGGGTAGACTGCTGGGCTGAGAATATGTAGGTTCTTCTGCTGGCTGCCCTCTGCAGTCCTGTGCACAGTCTACATATGGACAGAGCTGTGGGGCATGGGGATGCTCTTTGTGTTTTCCTTAGCACCTTCTTGAACTGACTGGTGCCTATGAAACACTGCTTCAGCAGCAGAAAGTTACAGGGGGTTGTCTTTTATCTAAAATTTTAATTGTAAAACTGTTTCTTTCCATTCTTACAATCCATTAAATGGCATCATCTGGGGAGGAAGGAAGAAAGAGGCAGAGGGCGGGGGCACAATTTACTAGAACAAGGTTGACCAGGCAGGGTACATCCTAATCCACTGGCTGAATTATTCTGTGACTAATACAATAGTCTTAAGTATTTCTCAAATCTGATTTCCAGTAGTAGGATTCCAGGGACTTAACTCAGTTATATATAAACTTCCTAGGTTTCCCATCTGTGTATGTTCATAAACCATCATGTGTTCATGAATTAATTGGTTTTTCAAATTATCATGAAAGTATATTATAAGTTTTGATTTTTTTTTTCCCCAAAGACTTGATATCATCCACTTCAAGGCTTTGCTAGAGACTTTAAAACAAACAAACAAACAAACAAATAAAACTTCAAAATTGGCAGTTAGCTGTTTGAAAGAACTGAAGTATGGTCTAGCACCAAGCTTTTACTTTTCTCAGTACTGTAAAGCAACAGAGTCAAATGTTGACCGATTTATTATGTATTCTTATAATTGATTTTTTAAATGCTTTATGAAAATAGAGCATAATTTGGTTTTGTAAATTAATATTAACTCATGTAGTTCTGGTACATGTGAACTTTGTAACAGATTTATGTCCTAGAGTCTGTGGTGGAAGCAGGGGGGGAAAAAGAAGTAGGAGTCAAAAATGTAGCTCAGAACCTAAGATGTCTGATAGAATTCCAGATGTCTTGTCTTCTGGCAAACATGGCCAGTGTATGGCTGCATTTGTACTCACAATTCATGCTTTCTGTGTAGTCTAGTTTGATATAGATCTGTGTCTCAATTGTGAGCCTTGTCATGCATCCTCTGGTGTTGTAACAGCTCACACTGCAGACATGCTCCAGGTCTGTTGGAATTTCTTTAACCAGAGCCCTGATTTTACTAAAACTATCTCTGAGGCCAGTAGCCCCGTCAGATACACTTCATGCTCGCTAAAAGTTACAAAACTCAGTTTTAGAATTTTATCAGACCTACTTCATTGGTTCTGATGCTTGTTTCTTGATGCATGGTTAAAATTTCGTTCACTGTCTGCATAAACGACAGAAGTTTTACTTACTTATTATAAAGCACAATGTCTGGCAACCAGATGTGTTTTGCAGGTATTCTCAGCTTATTTATTCCTTCATAGTCAGAGGGCTTCCAAGCCAAACGATAATCAATCCACTCCTAAGAGAAGAATTGAACAGTAGTGATGGGATTATCCAGACCAGCACTAACAAAACAATCACTGTGATGGAGTGAAAGCAGTCACATTTGTGGTTTGCAAGAGCATGCCTCTGTGCGTTTGGTTACCTGGTTCAGCCAGACATTTGTAGTCATGATCTGCTCCCGTTCATTCTGCAGGCAAAGAGAGAGAAAAGTTGTCCTCTAAAATATTTCACTTCATTGCAGTAATAAGATTTGTTTAGTGGGCTTTTGAGGATATTTCCAACCGCGCAGCATGATTTCATCTAGTGTATTTCAAGACAGGCTTTTCTCTGCTGCTAAGATGGCCAGTCTTGTGCACATACTGATGATAAATAGTAAACCCACAAGTGTGGGGTTAAAGCCACTCCAAGTGGCTTTTAACAAGGACAGCTGTGACTGGTGTGAGTGTGGCTATTTGGGAAAAATTACTGCCACCCTGCCGAGCTGATTTCCACCTCCTCCACACTCCATGGATTTGATTTGAAACAGAAGGCACAGTTGAGCACCAGGAAGGTCTACATTAACTTGTGTGAAGTTTATGTAAGGTTTGCCATGTAACCTCTAAGCTGGCAGGCTCTCCTTCATGGAACTATTGTCTCTCTGGAGAGATGGGAGTCCAGAAGAGAAGTCTCTCTGCAGCAGATCTGTGTGGCTGGGACTCTACTGAAGGGACAAGGTGGGAGGTCAAAGAGTCAGGAGGATTTCTGCAGGAAAACGAGTTAATTCTCTGATCCTGAAGATGTGTGAGATTGTTAGAGCCTGTAAGATGCCTGATTTTGCTTTCTGTTTGAAGAATGAGGATATAGAGGGATAGGGACTGAGCTGTGCCATTCTTGATCCTTGCCCATTCATCTGCTGTTTAAGCTGTTGATCACTGGGGCCTGTGGGGGCAAGACACTTTGCTTTTTATGCCCAGAAACTGCAATCTGGGAGGACACTGTGCTAGTGGTGGCAGTGCACTGTGTGAGGAGACACGTCTGTGTCCAGGTGGAAGTCCCCAGGAGAGAGGGAGCACTTGTCCCAGAGTCATCTGGTATACGTGACAGTATGTCCTGTATAAATCAGCCTGTACATGTGTATGAAAGCTCACCTGTTTGTACAGTTTTCCTTATGTTCCATCAGTGTCACTCTCTTTTCCTCTTGAATTTCAGACTATAAATTATCTAGGTCTCTTAAAGTTTGCAGCAGTGCAGTCACTGGCCTGTACACAAATTCTGGCAGGGAGGTAGTCATCTGTATCCTCTTTTTCTTCCAGGGACAGAGCAGTGGATTTGAAAGCCCTGATTCAGGAAATTATTCCCACTTATGTGCTGGATCTTGTTCCCACTGCAGTTAATGCTAAACCTCTCTTGACACTGAGGTATGTATTTGTACCTTGGAAGAACTGTTAAACACGTGCTAACCTTGGTGAGTGGTCTTTTAGACCCATTGAAGTAATTTTTATTGAATATGAGGACTTGCTTACATGAAGGTTGTTTTAACCATGTTAAGCTATTCCTGCCAGAACTAACGTGTCTTTTTCTTTACAACATTTCACTATTCTTTGCTGATATGCCTGATATACCATGAGATTTTGAGCTGCCTTCATAGCTTGTTTTCAGGCCATTCAAGCACATTTCTTTGATGCAAACAGCAGAAGATGGTTTAGCATTGTGTACACAGTCCAGGATAGATCCTGACCTGGTGTAACTTACTGTAGCTGTACTGAAATCAGTGGAATGATTTTGATTTTTTGATCAATGGGATTTTATTGGATGAAGATCTGGCCACTGTTCTTTATTGCTTAGGCATAGATTGCTTAGGCATAGATTGATTAATGGCCTCAAGTTGCATCAGGGGAGGTTTAGATTGGATATTAGGAAAAATTTTTTCATGGAAGGGGTAGTCAAGCATTGGAACAGGCTGCCCAGAGAGGTGGTGGAGTCACCATCCCTGGAGGTGTTCAAAAAACGGGTAGACGTGGCACGCTGGGACATGGTTTAGTAGGCATGGTGGTGTTGAGTTGACAGTTGGACTGATGATTTTAGAGGTCCTTTCCGACCTTAATGATTCCTAGTTCTACTTTCATTAAAAAAATAATCCAGCCACCAAGCCAGGAAACATGAAATTAATTATTCCACTACCCCTAATTGGTTTAGTGGTAGACTTGGTGTAGTGTCAGGTTAATGGTTGGACTGGATAATCTTAAAGGTCTTTTCTAACCTAAACAATTCTATGATTCTATTCTATGATCTCCCTGTTGTAGCTGCATTCTGAAGTATAAAACCAGTAAATCACATGTATGGGCCCTGCCTACTAAGTATTAGTATGTAAACTAGAAAATAACAGGGACAGAGTAATACCAATATGACTTTTACTTAGAGTGCTGTGCAGGTAGTAATGAATTAAAAGACATAGCCTAATTTGAACTTACCACACTGATGAGCTGTGCTAGGGAAACCTGCAGTTCTATAGATACCAACTGGGATGAGTTGACAGCTGGTCGAATTAACTTATTGTACCTGTCAGGACTCAGTAGGTGGTCCATTAGCTTTTCTTCAGCATCTGCTGCAGTGCTTCCTGTAAAACATCACGTAACAGGATTACAGAAGGGAGACCAAGTGACATGATGTAGGGATCACAGAATTTCTGTGCATCAGATCGTCTTCATGAAATAATGAAGGCTTTTGATTTTCTATAGATTGTAGGCTCGTGTGAACAGAAGGATGTGGTGCTTGTACCAATATCTGTTCTGCTGAAGTTGACCGTCTTTCACAGAGCATAGATCAAAGCAGATAAATCAGAACCCTTTGGGTTTTTTTCACAGTAAAATGTTAAGCTCAAGTTGATAGATACTTTTGGGAGTATATTCAGAAATAGAAACTGGGAGCAAACCACCCTCTTAATAACAGAGGAAGAACATTTCAACAATCCAAACACAGGGAGTCTGGCTGTTATTTCTCTCTTTAGTGTCATAGGAGACAGAGTTGCAGGCGCACATACAAATTGAAAGACTCTGATCTGCGTAGGAAAAACCAGGGGATGAGTTGCAGGATTCATAAGGGTTTTTTAATGATTGGGAGCTCTTTGGTAGCTAGTGATGTTTCTGTTTCAGAATTATTTTATTTGAAAACCTGAGGCAGTATGTAAGCCTTATTTTATGTGGAAACAAAACCTGATTTATGGACTAGCACAAATACTGTAAATCTTAGATGGCCAAAGCTGGAGTTCAGTGACTGCAAAATATAGTATCTGCAGGATACTATCAAACAAGCCTGAACATTCTCCATGGAGAACGGACTATGGCACAACCCCAGAGGTAACTGCATCTGTTCCCATGTTCTTGCATGTGCTTTTTAAAGCCATTCTAGTGGACTTTTCAAACCATTATTGACCACGTAATAATACTGATGACTAAGGTCCTGGTAACATCCTGCCAACAGAATTGACACAGAGAGATTCTGCTGTGTGTCAAGTAATTCTGTGTTGTGTTATACAGCTGACAGTGATGGACACAGGTGCTAATGAAAACAGATTCTAATGCAGTTGACAGAATGATTCTTCCACAGGAAAGGGCACCTAACCCAACCCTGCATATTGCAGAAATAAGGATAGTGTCCCTACAGCATTCTTGCTTCATTATTCCCCAGAGCAGTTCCACACAGTAAAAACCACTGGCCATGCAGGTATTTCAAATTTGTGGTACATTAATTTGTTCTGGTTTTCATATGTTGTACATATCCCTGAGATCCAGAGAAAGGCAGACATCGAAAGGGCAGGATCACATAAGCAGCCAAAGTTTGTGTGCATTTCTAGAGGGTGCCTGGTTTCCAGGTGAACTGGGCTGTAATTTGCTAGGGGGAACAAGTTTGTCTTGAAACTTGGTGCTTCTGAATTCCACTCGGATTAAAAAAAATACTGTAAGAACTTCTTGTTTCTGATCCAGTAAGAAAGTGGAGAGACATAAAAGGGAAACATCATCGAACAGATTTTTCACATCTAAGAACAGCTTTTATTCAAGCTCTGGGGAAAGGTTGTGATAAACATCAGGCTTGTTTTAATTCTTTTAAGACCAGCATATGCTATGGCATTGGTAGCACAAATTTTATCACATATGCTTAACCATAATGTTGCTCGTCAGAATAGGCTTCTCAAATACTTCCAAAGACATTTGGGAAAACAGATTTGGATGCATACATCCGTGTTTGTCGGGTCGGTTTAGTTTTTGATTCTTTGTACCTCCCTGCAAGTCATTATAAAAGCCCTAGTACCATGTGATATTTTAATATTACATTTATTCTCACTGTAAGCCTGCCTGATCAAGGGCCTATCAATCTAGACCTATGCTGATCTTTGCTAAGCTCCAGATTCTGTTTTTTCTTGCATATTGCAATCAAGATAGAGCTAAATTTGATGCTGTGAAGAAAATGGGGCCTCATTCTAGGAATGAATCGTTCTGTGTTTATAAGGATATGTGAGAAGCCTTGTGGTAGCTAAAGAGAGAATCTTGGTTAAAGTTATTTTATTGTGTTGGGGTTTTTGTTTGTTTGTTTGTTTTTTAACAAACATTCCAGCTGTTGCATATGTGACATAAGCAGATGGCTATAATTCAAACATAAATAGTAATTTGGTTTGTTTCATACAGTGGCCACTAAATGCTGCTAGCAAAGACAGTGAATTCTTGTTTGAATTGTTAAATATGTTTTCACTGTGTTGCCGTCTTTTTCTGTAAGATTCTAGCATATGGAGTATTTGCTAAACACTGAGTAAGAAATAGAAACTGCAGAATATTAGCAGAAAGCTCATTCTGAATTTGTAAAAATCCTGTTCTCCGAAACCTGGTTTAGCAATTGTAGTTGTCTGGTCTGGAAATCGAAACATACTGTGGGGTCTGCATGTCTGATGAGAACAGCTCAGATTTCAAAGTACTGACTGTCAATAAACTTTATGCAGAGGAATGACAGGCCACGACTTAATTATAAAAACTTATTTGTTAAATAATGAATCCCTTTAAGAAATTATTATCTGTTCTTAGGGAAGGGGTTCCTGTAATGAATAATTCCTTATAAAATTGACATCCCATCCCAACCTTTAAATAACTTAATCGCCAGAAATAAAGATCGAAGGGGCTACGCTCTCATCTCACTTGGATGCCTGTATCAAATACCGCTAGATGTCAGCAGTGCACTGCCTTAAAGGCTGCTAAATCAAATCTCTCTGTAAATAATGTGTAAAAATGAGTGATTCTTGTGTAATTTTTATAATCTATTTTCCATTACCAACCTACATATTAACCAGATGGCACCTAATGAGAACAAAATTGCCAGGCATCCAAGTTCATCTTTATATGCATTTCATGATGTAAGTAGCCATGCAATTGAAACTCCTCTTTTTCCTTGCAGAGTTGGAAGAAATGGAAGTGCACCGTTTCCCTCGCAAACTGCTTTTTTTCCAAATAGCAGTAATCACCAGAAATGTTGCAGAGGGTAGACTGATGCTTTTAGACAAATTATTTTAATAAGAATGATGAAGCAGTCCTAATTTGGGGGTGGAGTATTTTTGTGTACTGAAAGCAGTAATAGAGAAAACACATTGGGGTGGTTCCTGAGCGAGGGAAACTGTTTTAGCTTCACTGAACATGCTACACATCCGCTCCAGGACAAGGAGAGCAAATTACCACATAGCTTGCAGTACACATTCTGCAATAAGTTTGTTTTCTCTGTGGGAGTATGACCATTAAAAAAAACAATTGCATTAAGGATGCTTCCAATTTCACAGCAGAAGAAACAAAACCAGAGACTTCATTCACTCCCCTGTGCACTTTCCTTTTACATGGTCTAATTTAAATATATAAAATGAAATAACTACTCATGCTGTCTTATGTTGTTTATTTTCAGTGTAATGACAAATACGTTGGAGTGATTTCCACAGAACAGAATAAGGAGCAATGTTGACAAATACATACAAATGCACTGTTGTCACTGTCTAGATTGCAAAATTTAACATAAGGCATGTTTCCTCCATTTTCCTGACTTCAGTTATTTTAATAAAAGTTGAAATAACATTTGTTTAGAAATAATATATTGTAGCATATGTTGTAATTTTTGTTCTTTCCTCTCTCCCAAATAACTTATGTGGACAATGGCGACATACCGAATTCCTATCTGTAATTAGTAAAGAGCAAGCGAGAAGCAGCAATAAGACAATCCCATTATCTTCTCTGAAATTACTTCGTGGTGGTGTTACTTCTCAGCATACTCTTGAATAAAAAGATTCATATAACATCTTAGGACAATGCACGCTGATTTAGAACGCTTATTGTTCCAATGGAAGTAGTGGTGAATTTACTGTATTTTAAAGACTATTTTAATTTCTACACTGCAATTAATGCAAACAAAAAGGAAATACTAATGGGTTTAAAAGTGTGTAATCTAAGAATCTAAAGTAGGCCCTCACTCTTCATTTGTTACAAAGCAGATGTTTTCTAAAGTTGCCGTTCAGTGATTGAAGAAACAAAATAACTGTGGGATGAATAGGTAATTATGGGAAAGATGTGATTTTTGTCTTGGTTCAATTTCAGCCAATTTCAATCTGAACACTTCAGTGGAGTCTCTCCGTGGGAAGAAGCTCCCATGGTAAATGCAGTATTTCATGCTGCTGTCGGGCTGTGCGTGTTGGCTAAAACATATGCAAGAAATCCTGGCGGGCTAAAGAAAATGTATTTAATGTATGTTTGCTTTTTTTTTAGCGTGTCTTTACACTTTTCAATTTAAACTACTCATATACTAATCAAACAATTAGGAAGTATGAATTTTGCAAAATACATGAACTTGAGCCAATAATTGTAGAGGGATGAGATCTGTCTTATTTATGATTCGTGTCATGGTTAATTTTTTATTTTTTCACTCACGTGCTTTCCCATCACAGATGATCCTGAGAGCATCTAAAGGGATATTATTTAGTGATTATCATTGTCACCTCCTACTGTTCTGTCATTTTATGTCCAACTTACTGTCTCTCCGTATCCATCGTGGTGGATTTGCTGATACTGAACAAGCCAGAAACAATGCTAAAATAATCAATTTAATGCATCCTCTTAAAGTCTGCAACCTAGTGAGGTGATAGTTACAAATTGCCTGAGAGCTTATATCACAGTCCCATCTCCTAGCCCCGAAAGCTGTCGCTGTTCTGCAAACTGTATCTGAAAGAAAAGATCACTTACCGTTAAAATAAAAGGAGCCCACTACAAAGAGAAAGAGGGTGTACGTATTCCTCATGGCAATAACAAGAAGAGGTGAATTACTGTTCTTCAATTAAGACAGCTGGCAATAGGCTCTGTTGTCAGGGATGCACAAGGAAGAGATGTAAAAGCAAACCTGAATCTTGGAGGTATTAAATGCCTGGAAAGAGACAGACAGTAGGACCTGGCAGAAGCGTTCTGCAAAGTGGAGTTTTCATGAGCATGATGGTCCCTCCCCCTTTGCAGCTGTTTAAAGAGCTTTGTGAAGAGGAAAAGCACATAAGAAGAGGGAACATAATGTGATAATGTTGAATAAGAGGAAATGAAAAAGCAAGCTGAGGAACATGATCTGCAAAACACAACAGCTTAATTCTTGTTACTAGATAACATTTAGAAGGCTTTCTGGTTAATAAGTGCAATAGGTGGGAATAGCTGTGTGGGAAGAGCTGGATATAACTTGGTGCCATAGGACCTGTTAGTGAAAGACATGTCAATAAATTATAGCCCTAGCAGAGGGTAATTTTCTGTGTCAAGAGAAAAAGTTGATTGCCTACTGCAATTTCCAGTCCAAGGCCCACACATGTGATCTCTCTAAGCTAGAACTCCAAAAGGCTTTTTGGGAATGGTAGGAGAGGAACAGACAATTCGTTGTCATTAGCCTTTGACAGGATTTTTAAAAGAAAGCTGAAGCAGCCTGCTGACAGATAGCAATAGCTATAAAGACACTCCAGAGGAGCATTAGACAAATTCTATGGAAGTCATCTTTTACAGCTGAAGGGTTCA